CAGAGAGAGAGAGAGAGAGAGAGAGAGAGAGAGAGAGAGAGAGAGAGAGAGAGAGAGAGAGAGAGAGAGAGAGAGAGAGAGAAAATATACTCTCTGAGCGTCCAGGTCACATAGCTAGTCGAAAAAAACTACTGCTGCCCCACTCCGGATGCGGGAAGAAACTGACGCTGCAACGAAATGTTTAAATATTAGTAAGAGTTTTACGTCACTTGTAACACAACTAGGTCACATGAGATTATAGTAGCTACCACCACCAACGATGTTGTTGTCCATATCAAACTTGTTGGTGAGTCGAAATGGTCGCTTTTAAGGACAACCCAGATTTCGGGGGTTTCCAGAAATCCTGACCTACACCAAAAGTGGACATTACCCGACCTATAGGAGAAATTTGATTTCATTGGTGTCTATATTTGTTTGGTTATAGAGAAAACTCTCCTTGTCTTTTAAAGAAGCTGAACAAGGGTTCAAACACTTTACCTTCAATTTTCTCAAAACAGCATTTTTTACGATAGCCTCCTTGTGCTTAAAAAGCGACCAAATAGGTGTCGAAGTGAGATCACCAAAATGGCCACCGGTAGCACGGGGACATAACTCCTGTGGTGTTACTCAACAGTCGGAGGGATGCAGACTATTGCCCCGTGGGTGGTTGGTGGGTGCTCTGGTGTGGTTTGCTCCTTCTTTCCAATCAAAAATCTCTATCTCCCCTCCTTTTTGAGTTTGTTACTCTCTTGTAGCACCTCTAATCTTCGGCACTTAAGTGACCTTATTGTGTTGCAAGCGTCGTAAAACTCCTACTAAAACTAAAAGACTATTGCCCCAACCATCTGCCATCTTCGACGTCGTCTCTGATTTTAGATTTAGTAAGAGTTTTACGGCACTTGCAAAACAATAAGGTCATATAAGTACCGAAGATTAGAGACGAGGCAAACCCCAAAAAGAAGGAGAGATCAGAACGATGTACATGTAGTATTATGTCTGACAAGAAAGAAGGAGCAATCCACACCAGAGCACCCGCCACCCACGATTCCTCAGCACGACACCTCCTCACAGAATATGTCGTGAGGCATCGTGGTGAAATCAGGCGCTCGTCAACACAACGAAATCGGAGAAACAGGCATTTTCCTCCAGTAAGACAATTTTTATCTTTTTTTTAACGTTTGGCTCAAACCCTTTTATGAACATACAAAAACATATTTCCAAGTGGATATTACGGAAAAAAGTTAATTAAAGGCACAAACGGAATCATTTTTCAGTTTTCAAGAACTCTTTAGCTACTGGAGTTGCCAAACTTTGGCGGTCATTTTCTCGCTAATTTCACCACTGAAACGAGACGACGAACCTCACATCCTTTAATCGAAATTATCTTGACTTCTATTCAAGATCGGTCGGTATTTAAAAAAAAATTGAAAGCAAAACAAATGATTGCGCTTTCAGATGACTCCAATAACTCCATATATATATGCCAAATAATTGACGGGAGCCTGATTGCACCAAGTCGTGACACATTATTATTCATTAAGGCTCAGCCTTATACCGGTGCTGTTTTTTTTCTCCCAAACTTTCACAATTAAAGTATGTTGAAACGTTTTTCAGTGTTATCTGGTTGCATTAACAATAGGCCTGGCGGCATTTTGTGAGAAATATGTAAAGTGCTGTACAGATTGC